AATATCACGGAGTTGTTATGGTAATTTAATTTCCTTACCAAATTCTTTCTGAATAACTTATTTTCTGTTCACTTGCAGGTTCAGGTCACAGTAGTAACATCTTTTTTGATTGGAAAACACGATCTAGGATTTGCATTGGGATTGCACGTGGGCTCTCCTATCTGCATGAAGAAATAAGACCACATATTGTTCATAGGGATATAAAAGCAAGCAATATTCTCCTTGACAAAAATCTTATACCTAAGATTTCAGATTTTGGTCTTGCAAAGCTTATTCCATCATACATGACTCATGTCAGCACACGTGTGGCCGGAACAATGTAAGCATTCTAATAAACATCCTTTGCATGAATTGGAAACTTTTATTTTCCTTTTCCATCCCAAAAAGTTAGACTTTATCTCTTCAATATCCTTAGACTAATATTCTTCATGTTTTATATGGCACACAACATGATTATAATGTGGTTATTGGTCAGACTTATATACCATAATGCTGAAAATTTTGAGAATAGTAGAATGCAATTGGCTTTATTGATTCTATTCAATATTTTATATAAACTGATTTTGCTGTAAATTTGTGACTTTGAAATTTATATTCACTTTACTTCAAATTATCTGTTATTATTTTTCTTTAGTAATCCAGACAAGGGATTCCTTTGGTTGACCCTTTGCTCTGCAAGATTTGTAGTCCATTAAATTCAGCACACCACAAAATTCTTGCTTATTGTAAATTCATCATCAACCGGAACACAACAGAGATCATTGAAATTCTTGATAGAGATCAGGAATTCTATTATTCAAATATACATAACCTGGTTAATAAAACTGTTGTAGTAATTCTCTTCCTCCTGTGTTGGAAATCCTACTTTAACTAGAGATATGGTGAAACTATTATACTTTAAAGTTCACTTTCTAAGATGTTGGACCTAGAGATTACTTCATAACCTTTCAATTCTCACATGATATAGAGAAAAGCTTCCCTTGTTCTCTTAGTTTTTGATTCCCTTTACTTACCAATTATTTATGTCAGGAACTTAATGCTGTATCTTTTGTTTCAGAGGTTATTTGGCACCAGAGTATGCATTAAGGGGGCACCTCACACGTAAAGCAGATATTTACAGCTTTGGTGTACTCCTTGTGGAGATAGTGAGTGGAAGATGTCACACTAATACACGGTTACCGATAGGAGAGCAGTTTATTTTAGAAACGGTATGTCATTTTATTTTCCTAGTTGTATTGCTGTACTTTTACTGTTTACAAATACATAGTCAGAGGGAAAAAATAAATTGGTTTATTGTACTCATCTCCCTATTAATAAGCAAAATTCTTCGGGTACAATAAATTGAGTTACTTTCACTGCCAAGTATGTGATAACATAACCTTTGCAGAAGATGGTGACTTTAAACATCAAAATGATTCCAAGCCTCTTCTGAGTTATGTTTCTTTTCGTTTGACAAATGGTTTGTTTGGATTTTCACAAGCAAAATTAGCTTATGAAAATAAAAATTTAGAGAAGCTAGATGGAAAAGCTTCTACAAATTATCTTAATGGGGAAGCTAAGTTTAACTTTGCTTATGGAGAAACTCGTCCAAACAGGTCCAAGTTTTAGTCTCCACTAATTTTATTTTTGTTATATTCGCTCTCTTCTTTCTACTCTTGTTTTCCATCCAAGTTCCATTCAATTGTGATTGATTATGAAAGCTCTAGTTTGATCCTTCAGCATGAAAGACATTGAAATTTTGGAGTCATGCTTTAAATTAAAAACCATGAGTTGTGAGAGTTTACTTCTAGCCTCAAATTACATTTGTTAAACCTATCAAACAATTCTTATGCTAGTATCAGAAGACTGTATCATATCTGAAAGAATCTTTGTTGTTTGAAATCTGAAACATAACACATTTTTTTCAGCCTGACACACTTGACCACTTCATTTTACATTACAGTACACTCATATTCTGACATTAAGATTTTTTTCTACCAAGCTTCTTCTCTTGTTGTCTCTATGTTTTTCTTCATATATGTTGCTTTTTTATCCATTTTTACACAATGTGAGACTCTAACTTATACTTAATCGTCAGACATGGGAGCTTTATCAGCGAAGGGAATTGGTAGCGCTTGTAGATGCATCCCTAGACGGGCATTTTGATGCAGAGGAGGCCTGTAAATTTCTGAAAATTGGACTTCTTTGCACTCAGGACACATCGAAACTCCGGCCACCAATGTCTTCTGTGGTCAAGATGCTCACTGGAGAAATGGACATAGATGAAAGCAAGATAACAAAGCCAGGCCTGATTTCAGATTTTATGGATCTTAAAATCAGAGGAGATAAAAAAGATGGTGATATTGAAACCAAGGGTTCATCTTCTGCTTCAGATAGCCAGGGTAACACCATGGCATTTACTGCAAGTACAAGTACAACCACAACCTTCACTCTTAAATATGATCAAAGCTTGTAACCATTATTTGTCATTGGTTGACACTGTGAATCCAAATTATTTGATTTCATTTTTCTTAGATCTCCCTTTCGCTTGTAAATTTGCTACAGGTCCATAAATTTGTGTGTTAATATTTTATTCTATTGAAGGCTAGGAAGTTTTGGCCAATGTACACTATCTTGTAAATATGGACCATGGTTATAATCAAACGATGAATCTGAAGATCTTTGTTCTTTAGCAATCATGCAGGTGTGTGTGTGTATACACATATATGTATATATATACACATATATGTATGTTTGTAGGGTTCTGAACTGAACTGCATAATACACACTAGCTGGTATTTGTTACCATCATTCTTATATTGAGTATATAATTTGGATTTTCTATGAAAACAAGGTTATGTTTTTGAAAGGTATTTAAATCTGAAAAACAAATAGATACTTTCAAAATTGGATTAGTTATCTAATTAGTATTTACCATTGTAGAATCATTAGGATTTTTGTCTATATTTAAAAATTATATATCTTGCATTTACATGTTATTTTAATTTGTACAGTAATGAAATCCCAGGTAAACTTTAAAAATGGTGAGTTTGAATAGAGTTTAATTTTTTTTTACAATTTAGTGCTAGACGTTGTTTGTAAGGATTAGACGATCTGTAGACAATATTGAACACTTATAAAGCATTTAGAAATAACAAGGAAGAAGACTTATTTTTATACTAGTTTTGTCCAACTAAGTTATGTCCAGTTGTTTTTTAAACACTCTTAAAGGATTTTATTTATCTTTGAAAAGATGAAACAAGTTTAATCACTCTTAGTTTATAACGAGTTTAATCATTCTTGGTATAAAATTCTTTAAGTGACTATAACCTTTAACTCCTCCTGAGTTAAATAACCAAGTATTTTAAATTAATTCTGATTATACAAAAATAACAAAGTGTTTTTATAAAAACAAGTGCAGATAAATTCTTTCTTAGAGAAGATACTTGAGCAGTACAAAGTTTATGTTAAAAATTTGTTACAAAGATTTTTCTTTTTCAACGAGCTAGACGATGCAAATGCAAGAGAGTTTTGACAACGTAGTAGTATGTTTAATAATTGTTATTCGTGATTCTTGTTGTCTTCTCTTTATGCAGTATTCTTTATATAGGCAGATTCAAAAAAAAAATCTATTACTCATAAGCATTAGCTTTGATGTAGGTGTATAACCTTTTATATAATGTCAATGTCAGATGCTATATTGCTTTTGTAAAGACAATTGTGTTCCTTGTACCGATTGGGTAGACAAAAATGCAATAAGGAAACATCATCAAAATGTTTAATTATCTCTTAGTATTCTTTTAAACCAACGCAAAACTTTTGAATAAAGTATTGTCCTTATATGATCTGCACAAATAAAGAGAAATAACACAAAAGACAAATAAGTATTATTCTTACAATTGAATTTAAACATTAGATGTTCATTACATCGTTTAGCAAGATGCATGTTCTATAGCGTTTATGTTAGACTTTCTATCAAATAGTTTAAAGTAACATATATAGTTTAGTGCATTATTTTAACGATCTTTTTTATATATACCATTTTGTTAGATACTTTTGTTAAACTTTAAAATGAAGATTCTTAAACCATTTTGTCTTGATTTTATTCTTTACTGATTAAATCTTGGTAAACTAAAAAACAATTGATAATAAAAAAATGTTTTTTTATGTAAATATTAAAAGGCAATATTCAGTGAGACAAAAAAAATTGAATAATTTAAACTAAAGAACTTTTCATTTTGAACTTTATAATTTTCTTTACTGAAGTGGGTGAAAAGGTTTAGGTATATATCCTTTTTCTATACAAATTTTACTTTTTTAATTTTGTTGATAAAATAGTTTCTCTAAACTTCTTTTTTTCAAAAGGTATCAAAATGATAGTTTTTTTCTCGAAGGAACATTGACTTGTTTTCAATATTTATTGTTGAGAGACTTTATTTGTTTTTTCAATCTAAAAGAAGCTTCTTCTTTTTTTAATAAAAGTACTACGGACAAATAAAGAGAGATTAAGTAAAAATTCACTAAATAAAGAACAATGTCTCTAACTTTGTGGGTGAAAATTAAAAAATACTTTACTTCATGGTTTGATCCTAAAAATACTTTGTTTCAATATAATCTTGATATTAATTTTCCTGTCCCAATAAAATTGTAATTCTTTTTACAAAAGTTCATCTCATAAAAAACTATTTATTTTAGTTTTTTTTTTCATTCAAGAATAACTTGATTTCTCTATTAAAGATTAAAACATGAAAATAATAAAGACGACCATAACGACCTATTTAACCGCTCAACTGAATATTTGTTTCACCTCAATACATAATCAACTGTAAAATTCAAATACTGATTAGATTATCACATTACATGATTTGCATTAAACAAATAAAGCATCAATTAGCTAACTAACTAGAAAGTTAAATACATGTCGGTTATGTAACAGTTAGCTAAAGGCAACGAGGTAACGATAAATTCCACGTGGCAGGCCTCTATTGGTTAGCGAAAAGTTCGTTATTCTTTTGCGCGGGGAATCGTAACTCAAAGAAGGATATAAAAATGGAGTGGGTTGAGTGATGAAGAGTACTTTGTTTGTTACAGTTCCTATGGCTCTCTCTATCAGACCCTCTGTGAGAGTGCAGCCTGAACAAAGAGATTGGATCAGCTGCTTCGATTCTCTGTAATTATATTATCACTCATCATCACTTCAAGAACGATGATTTTTGGATTCAATAGCCTAATCGATTATTATCGTTTTATCTGTGCTTTTTTCTCTGAGTGATCAATGGTTATGTCTGTGGTGGAGTAGGTTGGCGAGGTTGGTGTCGTGCGGCATCTGCTCACCGGACAAACACGACACCAGTGACGAGGAGATACCAAACTTGGAGGTAATCGAGGTGGTGGCGGACGGTGGCTACGGGCGAGTCTACCGGTGCCTCGATCCTGCCTCCGGCAACGTCTTCGCCGTGAAACAGATCGCAATAATCGGCGCGTTCCAGGGTGTACCGTCTGCGATCATCCGCGAAGTGTCGCTCCTCAAAGAACTCCACCATAAGAACATTGTGAAGTTGCTTAAAGTCTATGTGAAGGGAGAAAGACATGTCAATCTTGTCTTCGAGCATGTCCAGGGCGACCTTCATGACTATATTAGGCACAAGCGTTATCGCAATTACGCGATTATAAAGGTACAAGGAAGATGAGAGTGCGTTTTTTTTCTGGTGTTTTATGAAATTGATTTTTAATTTGTTCAGAAATGGATTAGGCATTGTTGCATTTGGGTTCCCAAGAATCTTTTGAATTTAAAGAAATTTGCATTAAATGTCAATTCTTAAAGCAAAGCTAGATTTAAATTGATTTTAGTTAAAGAAAGTGGTTTATGTTTGGATATTTCAATGAAAGTCATTTTGTTATATAGTATTTAGGGTAAACTTTTCATCATGACTTTAAATTAAATTGTGGTTTTGAGGTAAAATCAATTTTACTCAGTAGTATCCTGACATTTATCACTGTTAATTAAGAAGGATAAATAATTTTAAGATTGAGGTAGATGAATCTGAAATTCTAAAAATCTTGTAGCTGTGATTAAATTTCTTTTGCTTGCAGAGTTTCATGCAGCAGATACTCGCTGCTCTGGAATTCTGCCATTCGCGTAAGGTTCTGCATAGAGATTTGAAACCCGGCAATGTGCTGGTTGATGAACCCAATTTGCAGATCAAACTTGCCGATTTTGGTTTGGCTAGAGAGTTTAGAGATGACATATCATATACTGACCAGGTATAATTGACTTGAAAGAAACATAATTATTTGTTGTTTCATAACTATTTCTACTGTTTTAGTATTCACATTCATTAAGTTTCACACTAACATTTTGCTGCATTGCTTTCTTCTTAGACACAACTGAATCCTGCACATTGTTTCCTTTTGTGATATTTTGTTCCGACCAAATTTGGATATTATACGAAAACGACAAAACATTCATATCAGGTGCAAATTTAGAACTTATAAACGGGTGATTCTCTCTGGCATATTTGGGTTAATTATATATTATTTTTTCAAGTTTTTAAATTTTGAGGAGTATTATTTTCTTAAGTTTATCCCGTGATTATGAATATCTTAAATCTTGCAGTATTTCTTTATTCCTCTGAATTGTAAATTTTGCTGGCTTTATCATTTTATTTGCATATGTACATAGAGATAGACTATATGTAAATATTTCTGGTAAGAAATCATGGTCCCTCTTTCGTATGTAAAATAAGAAATATCTACTTCTTTCATTTATTTTTAATCATGAGATTTTAAAACGTGTTTGATTTATATGTAATCTTAAGAATTAAAGATAATATTTATTAGTCTTTTATTAACAATATTTTACTTTTATGTAATTTTCCTTAATATTTATTGTAATGCAGAAATGAAAAATAAAATAAAAAACCTTAAAACTATTTTATTTAATTTTTTTTTTTACATAAAATTCTTGAAAGACATTTTAGAATCAAGATAACTGAATACTAATACAGTATTCAGTTAGGAACTGCCTGGTACAGGGCACCTGAAATGTTGTGCGACAACTGTCAATATTCATCTCCAATTGATTTGTGGGCTGCTGGCTGTGTATTTGCTGAGATGCTAATTGGAGGACCTCTATTCATAACTAATAAGAACCGGGATGAGTTGCAGGCAATTTTCAGGTATCCATTTCACTTTTTCCTTCCATTCTTGTTTCTAAAACAAAAAATTAAGATTTTCTGTGAAGACTGTTAGGTACTCCTACAGAGGATACATGGCCAGGAATCACTCAATTAATGCCTAGCCTTCATAATAAGTACCCGAAATATAATCCAGTGGTACTAAATTCTCATTTCTCGATTCTCTTTTTTCGTACAATCTTTCAAAGTTACAACGCATTTATGTGACTCTCTACTGCTATGCAGGGCATGGACAAACTCTTTCCTCAACTGGATGAAAGTGGCCAGAATCTTCTTGCAGTAAGTTTTGTTTTGGTTGTCTTTAAAGAAGCCATTTGGAGATGCTTGTTATTTTAGGAATTCAAGTGTGTGGAGCGTAGGTTACTTCCAAAATTCTGTTGGTTTTTGCAGAGATTGCTTTGCTTGAACCCAATTGAAAGGATTTCTGCATCAGCCGCTCTAAACCATGATTACTTCAAGGATGTTGATTTGGTATATTTTCTGCTTCTTTTTTTCACCGCTCTGATAGTTTTAAATTCTTATTTGAATTGATTAAGGTTGTTATATTTTTATCCAGATTTGGGAAGGAAATCCAAGGGAGCTGTCGTCGAGTTGCATTCCTTTTCGATGACTAGTTTTTTGATGGATTTACGTTCTTCCGTTTATTTCACGTTACTTCCATTTGAATGAAATAAGAGATACAAACATACTTTCTTCTTTTCATTGTATCAATTCTTTTCATCCTTCCCTACATACGAAAATAAAATATAAAAGAATTAATCTCTTAAATTGTAGTTTAAATGCCTATGAAGAACATGGATATTTTAATGACATGTTAGAATCTTTAAATGTTAGTTTTTTTAAAAAAAATTACTTTTTACCATCTTTTCTATTTATATTAATTCTTAAATTATTCAAAAATATTAATTTCATAATAATAAATCTTATTATGGAATGTTTCGAAATAAACAATCTTAGATAGTTAGCATTTAATTCTAGTTTACACGTTTCACTGAGAAGTAGAGAGATGAAAGGTGTAAAAGAAATTTGTCATCGTTTAAGTTGGGACCAAATTAACTAAACATTATTTTTCTCCAAATGATATTAATTCATAAAAATAAATTAATTTTTTTCACTAGTTAACTTATGCATAAATTAAAATCAAACTTTAAAGAAAAAGGAAGCAGAAATAACTATTTCATTGCTAGCATTAAATGAATCCATTTCCCCATGAAAAAAAATTTGGGATTCATGTGTAGAGGTATAGTAAATGTACATTGACACTACATATCAACAGAAGAACATGGAACTCCTGATATTTTTATGCAATCTTGGAAGCTCTGCAGTAGAACTTAAGCCCGTTTCTGATAAATCATTAACATCCAAAAATCGTCCAATCTGAGCTGCCGCATGGTGAGCATAGCATATGGGTGCCACTGAAGAATAAAAAATGAGGATAAATTATTATTAACAAATTATTCACTTTGCTGAAGAAAAACACTATTTGATGAATTACCAACTGAGGTTGCAGTCGTGCTTCTTTGGTTCCTGAAATAAGTATACAAACAAACGAACTAAGTAGGATAATAAGAGTTAACATACAAAGAAAAGGTAGAATGCATACACATAGGACAGCGAATGGATCAAATTTTGTAAGCCATCTGCTGAGAAACCAATCTCATCAAGTAGCACATGATAATGTACAGGCCTAGATGTTCCCTGTTTATATGGTCAGGAAACAAAAAACAAATCGCAATCAAAACCAAATGCTACTAAAATGCTTGTAAAATAAGTATACCTAAAGTTACTTACCATCATCCCCGCATGAGCACACATGTAAAAATCATAATTTCTTGGATGCGTGATTGCTGTGTCCACAACAGTCCCTAAAGAGGAAAATTTATATTACAATGATTTCTGTGAGTTACCTGTATGCAAGTAAATAAAACAAGTAGCACACCTGGAGGAACATTTTCCGGACTATTAGCCTGAAACAGCTTAGTATGATGATTTTTCTGTGCCACTATCACGGTGAACTTGGGAACATCATCCTCACCGAGACGTTGATAGGCCTGAAATTACAAGACTTTCTAGTGATCCTAGAACTAGGAAAACATCAACAAAGGTACATCGTTTGATTGTTTGCATGTTTTAAGTAGCTTTTCTTTATTTATTTTTTTTTCCAGAATTCACTGAAGTCGTGAACAAAAAAACGAGAGGTGCTGTAGAAAATATTAACTTTTCCCCATTTTCTTTAAAGAGAAAAATGTGTAATCTAAGCACGCACTCAGAACAATGTCTACGTAAGATTCTTCCAGCAATCAAACAGATTATCAAACTGAACATGGAAAGAGTTAAGCTGTAACCTTTATTATCTGGTCAAGCTCGACAGTCAAAACTTGTTGAAATTGTGATTCACTTACTCCATCCCTGCACATGAAAACACAGTTCAGATTTTTAACAAGTGATAAAGGAAATTGAGACCACTCGTCAAATACTGATAGAATTGTACTAATTTTATTACATATAATTTGTTCAATATTAGTTTCCTAAAATTAGACACTAAATAAATTTGTCGTTGATTTCAGACAGCTGACTGATTTGCGTTGTAAATAATAAAATATCTTGGGAAATAGTTTAAGATTCAAATTGATGTTGTACGGTATTTCCTTATTCCTTAGATTTCCTTTATTTCCTGTTTTAGGGACGATCAATAATTTGACAGAAATTAATAAAATCATTGTACCCTTTCAACTTGGTATCAGAGTTCCTAATCCTAGGGAACTCAGTTTTTCTTATCTGCTACCAGACAAAAATAGTTGAAGCAATCTTGTCATCAAGGTTGAAATCAAAAAATTGATTACTAACAATAGACATGTCTTGCCGTGTAGCTTCCTCCAGTGACTTATCCTGGTACTAAACTAAAACCTATGGCTGACTCATGCCAACTTTCATCAGTATGCGACTAGCTAAAAATTATGTAGAATGATACCCAACTATTGAACCCTGCAAACCTCTTGGCAACTCCAGTTCAACATTATTATTTCCCAATTCCCTTCCGAAAAGAAACGTGGAAAACTGGATGGATCCTATAAGATACTGCACCTACCAGCTGTAATACTAAATATGGCCCAGAATAAGGAGTTAATAATTTAGGCTAAAGCTTGGAAGGAAATACCAATACCCTGATTGTATATAGGTTTGTTTCTGTTAGAAAAATAAACCATCCTATCCTGAGAGCAAGAAATTTAATACAAAACAAGGTTTCCTTTATATGAGGGTACCATGGAATCCTAAACCAAGTTGAACCCGTGTTAGAGTTTGAAGATGCATAAAGTCCATGCCCCAGCACATGCATAAGTTGTGGAGAAAAGAAGAATCTTCAAATTCTACATGGTATGAACTTGATAAAAATCACATTGGTACAAGCCTTAGGAAAGGAGTAGTTTCCCTCTGTATCTTAATTGTTTTATACTACTTGAGATTAAACAAAAAATATATTTCTAGAGAGCTTAGTTGATCCCTCTCACAATCTTCTAATTATAATAAAGAACTGATACAAGAATACATGGAAGATTAAGGGACTGTCCTAGACACCTAGGTGCAGAACTAGGTACTACTATAGATACAACTCATAAAAGCTAGCACACTACACCCTAAGTAGGCTTAATCATGATACATAGATGTAATTATTCTAACAATACTCAATGAAGAGACTCAGAAATCAGTCATCCTACTGAGTCTAAGTTGTCTAGTTTACATTGGGAGCTGTGTTAGTTAGAAAAACTTACTTGTCATTCCTTTCCTGATAGAGTCAATAAAAGAGTGGCCTCCCCATTCGACTTAATTCATGGGTCCTTCTCGTATTGTGTGTTATTATAGTTTTAAGCACTTTGTAACATTCATTGATGATTTTCTACAATCTACATGATTATATTCAATGAAAAACATGTCTAACATGTTTTCCAATTTTGAAAGATTTTACACTTGAGGAAGAACAAACAATTTTTTAGTAAATCACCTTAATGCATGCAAGATCTTGTACTAAAACAATTTTAGGAACATATGGCATCTAAGGAAATTCTCCATCAAAAATTTTGGTCCTTCTTTCTCTATAATCATGTACCCACATATTTTTGGGAGTATGTTGTTTTAGAACTTATTATCTTTTCAACAGGATGCCCTCAATTGTTGTCTATCCTTTTTCATCCTATTCCCTGCAAATATTTGGGTCAACTTTGTCCACAACTAAGCTCTTAGAATCAGGTGCGTATTCCTAGGTCACAATTGATCACAAAAAGATTATCGTTGTAATTCTCTCCTTTTTTTATGAGACCATCCCTTACTTTGAGTCCTCCACTACACATTCCACTTCCCAAATAAGTACACATTCTCTTATTCCCCTTCCCTCTGTCTCAAGCTAACTCTTTGATACACCAAGACGTTCCACAAGTAGGACCACAGGCAGAGCAACTTCTTTAGACACATCAGCATCAACCACGAACTACACTAATCACTGATTCAAGCAATGAAGATACAGTAGATCCTTGCTAGATTCTTCCATGGTTTTAGACTATTTATCAATTCAAACATACCCCTCGCTCGACCTTCAGTGGTCCATTGCTCCATAAAAGGTATTTGGCCTAGTCCTAACCCGTCTCGTCATTATGTTACAATAGGTTATCATTGTCATTCTCTATGTACTATACCTACCTTTCTTCTTTGACCATTTCCCAACACTTTAGGTGATACATTATCCCATCCCAAGTGGAGACAAGCAATGATTGATGAAATGAGTAGTCTTCAAAACAATTGTACCTAGGAACTGGTCTCATTTCCTCCAAAGTCCACATGAACAATTTTTTATGTGACCTTGACATAAACAACATGCAAGTACCAAAGAATATGGACATAAAAATTTAAAACAAAACAATAGCCACTACAAATAATCCACCCACAAGGTCTACTCCCATAACATCTGGTAGCTCCACCTTCTTGATCCACATGTTCTCTTGGCAACGCTAACACTATGCCTAAACTCATTGTCCAAATAAAACTCAACATGAAATTGAGACAAGATTGAACTACACGGCAAATATGAAACATATAAAATCCTTTTGATCACACAAGCTAACAAGCATACATAAAACCCCAAAAGAACATGTAAACATCATCGTCAAGGCATGGTGAATGTTGCAATCTCTACACTGCATTTATACACAAGGAATAACTTTAGAGAAAAGATGGAAAAAAAATCAAATGACATATCTGAACAATGCAATCCCATACAAATGGTAGGGATACATAACCAAATAGTAGAATGACAAGATACTAAAATGAGAATAATTATCCAAAAATATCTCATAACCAACCCAACAATGCTAATGGACTCAATTGATTAATGATTTTTATATGCTATAATATTTAACATTGGTATATTCTAATTTCTAATGACATTTGACCTAAAAACAAGTTATCCAAAAGAATATCTGACTGGATTATAGATCAAATACAACGGTGATAAAATGACACCTGAAGACAATAAATTGAGTTGGCTTGCGGCTGTTACTTGAATCATAGAAATCTAGCAGCAATTCCCTGTAAGAAAATATTTTAATCATTACAACAGTT